ATAGGGTTCATAAAGATAATTTTAAATACATAACTTACATATAATGAAAACATAAATTTTACCACTTCTTTAATTTTCACAAAATAAATTTCAGAATAAAATGCCTCATAATCATGCACACAAACAAGAATACTCCAAATCAGATATTGAAAAGGATGTGAAAAGGCTGATGAAACAGAGGAAGTTCACCTGAAAACAGATCTCCAGAAAGCTTCACAGCAAAAGGCTGTTTATGAAGGACACATTACCCAACTGGAAAAAGCTCTAAAGGACTGCACAGATCAACTGAATTTCGTCCGGAAAGAACAGGAGACACGAATCCACAGCGCCGTAATGAAGACATCACAGCAACACGAAAAATCAAAGACAGTCCAAGAAGACAAACTATCAGAAGCCGGTAAAAAAATCGCCCGATTAGAAGCCGAGAACACCCAGTTCAAAAAATCCCTGCTGAAAAAGGACCGAGTGGTCGAGGAGCTAAGCCGGTACAGGTCACAGGTGGAGGCGGAGCTAAAATCGCTCATCCAAAGATTAGAGTCGACTGAGAAGGAAAATTCCTCCCTCAAATACGAAATCCGGGTTCTCGAGAAAGAACTCGAGATCCGGCACGAGGAGAGAGAGTTTGATCTCCGAACTGCCGAAGCGGCCCAAAAGAAGCACGTTGAGAGCCTCGAGAAAATCTCGAGACTCGAATCGGAATGTCAGAAGCTCCGTTCGCTCGTCCAGAAACGCTTGCTGGGCCCCACTGCTTTCGCGAGGATGAAGAACGAGATCGAGGGGATCGGGTGGAAGGACTCGCCCGAGAGATCAAGAAGAATATGGTCAAATCAAAGATTGACTGGGTCGACGGATTTCCACGGTGATGTGGCAGGTGACGGGTTGACTAAAAGGATTGACTTTTTGAGCGAGCAGTTGCAGAGGATGGAGGAAGAGAACACAAGGCTAAAATGCACGCTCGAAGGGAAAACAATTGACGAACGAGAAAAATACTCGTTATATGCACAGGAAAAATCTCCGGCGAGTCTGTCTGAGTTGGGCAGTGATGAGAAAGCTAGCTTTGCTGGGTCCTGGGCATTTGCCTTGATAAACGAGCTTGAAAATTTCAAGAATGAGAAGAAAATGAAAACTTACACCCCAGACATGAAACTCATGGATGACTTTGCCGAGATGGAAAAGCTGGCACATTCACCTGCAGTAAGCGGGCACTTTTCTCAGGCCACGGAAAAAAATAGTTTCTTAAATTTAGAAGCATGTGGTAAAGGAAATGAAGATAAAAATTGCTTGACTGCAAAAAAGAGTGCGAGTGAGTTCAACGTGAGCGTACCGTTGAAAAAAATTATTGAGCTTCTTGAAGGAATAAATGCAGTACCACAAGATGATATTGGTAAGATTTTGCCGAGTAAGGACTTGGCAAACCAAATGGTTAGAGTGTTCCAATGTGAAAGTGGGGAAGTAGCAGCTGTTTTGAGACAATTTGTTCAAACTTGCGATGACTTGTTGGGTGGAGAAGCTGATATTGAACAGTTTGTTCAATTGGTAGCATCTAATTTGGAGTGGGTTATGAGCCACTGCTTTTCACTTCAAGATGTCATGAGCACGAACGATTACGGTGGATCAGGTAGACAATCTGCAGAGACTAGTGAACTGTGTATTGTAACAGAAGAGGCAAAAAAGTTGAACTTACAACCAGCAAATAAGGAATTATCGGTCCAAGGTCATGAAGAGCAGCAAATTAAGAAGGTTGAGACTCTCAGGATTCAACTTAAAGACTCGAATGTCATAAACAAGCATTCACAGTCAGAGAAGCCTACCAAGAGGGAGTCTGTAGATAATAGTTCCGAAGATCAGACTGAAGAACAGAAGATAATGAAACAAGACAGTCAGAGTCGGACACAGATTGTGATAACAAACCTTGAATACAGAAAACCTTGCGAAGATATTTCACGTGGAGAAAATGATCACGAAAATACTAGCAAGTCTTTCAAAGATCTGGAAGAAACATGCTATGACCTGAAAAAACAGCTAGATGGGTATGTTTTAATTCTAAAATTTTGTTCGGAATCAAATTCTTCTTTTGATTTTTCATTCTCTAACTGTATGTAATTCAGGGAGAGAAGCAAAGAAGTCGCAAATGACAAAAATCAACTTCAAAATGTAAGTTTGAAACATTCCAATGCCGCATTGCAATATTGCATTCTGTCAGGGTTTTGCCTAAGTAGAATTTGCAGCCTCTAAACTTGTACTGAAATTTTACTTTGTAGGATGCGGAAATTACGTCGGCTTCTGATAAATTGGCCGAGTGTCAAGCAACCCTCCGAAATCTGGGGAAGCAATTAAAGGCATTGGCTTCCCCTAAAGAAGCAGACCTTTTCGAAAAGGTTGTATCAACACCGGCTGATCTTGTTATTACCAGCATGTCAACTCCTAAAGGAAATGGAAACCAAAGACTGTCCCTACTAGATAAGATGTTAGCAGAAGACAATACTGTTCAAATTGGTGTCTCACCCAAAACGGAAGATGCTATTGAGAATGGACATGAGAATTCTGCTTTTAGCAACAATGCAAGATCAGAGCCTGGGAGCAACTTTACCGATCTAAATGAAATTGGACATGATGCAGACAGAAATGCAATTGTTCACAAGGCTATTGTCCCTCGAAAGAAAAAAGACAGCAAGAGTTTTCTAAAGAAGTTAATATGGTGGAAAAAGAGAAGTAATGGCAAGAAAACACCTTTCCCATGAGCTAGAAGTGGGATGGTGGTGGATACAAACTTTATAGTTACTGCTGTCTGTGTTGCTCATCTGAAATATTGTTGTCTAATATGTGCAAACTGTACAGAGAGGAACGAAGGAGATAAATAAACAACCATATCCTGTTGTGCATCTGTATAAAACCAAGAAAAAGGCATAGAATCAGAGCAACAAAAAAGCAACAAAAACGTTACAAAACCCTGAAATTAATCAGAAATTGCCGATTTCATTCCAGCAACTGCTAGAAATGCCATCGCAAAGAGATACTTGTCGCATGTATCTTCTAAAATACATGTTCATGCAAGACTTTGCTGGATCAATATTAGCCAATTGAAACACGGTATAAGGATTTCTGATGCAATCGCAAAATAATATTTCAGGACCTCCTGCATCATTCGATAGCAATAACCCAGTGAGTTGGGCAAAACCCGTATTATCAGAAATAGCAACACCTGTACACATTACACATAAATGAATCATGGAACAAATTTTTTATTGGTATAATTTTGTCTTTAGTAATCAAGAAGCCATATGGAACAAAATCCAATTTTGGCAGAAATAATTATTTTCATTTTTGTGATAAATGCTCTCTTAAGCATAAGTCGCAGTAGGCACTGCTTGAACAAAAATTGAATGCATAAAAGCACAAATGCATAGATTTCATGCTCAAATCTAATACTAGTCTCTGTAAAGAACAAATTTCGCAATATCATGAAGCCCAGCCTCGCTGTAACAGTCAGCAACCCTCTCTACGCATGCATCCCAAGTCCCTTCAACAGAAGCTAAATCCAATAAAAAGGCAGCTTCGTCCAGTGCAATCTGAGAATGGATGATTAGATAAATAAGAAAGGGCGAAACAGAAAAACAAAATTCAATAGAATCTTGATCAGCAAGATTCAACCTGAGCAGGTTCTTTTCCCTTTTTCAGATCTTCTTGCCTTCCCTCGTCTGTCACTTTCTCTTTGATGAACTCAATTTGCTCGTCCTCCCATTGAGCCATACCAGCAACTTCCTAACAAGCATAAATTTATAAAATGTTACACTAAATGTGAGGAGGTTGAAAAGAGAAATTAGCACGAGTTGAAAAGACTAATCAATAACATCTACCTTATACTCACATCCCAACGTCCACCAAGGTGATTTCAAAGCCACCCTTGCAGAATCTTTGGCTTCTACATTTCGTCCAACTCTACTCAGGAAAACAGAAGGAGAGAATACGGTACAGTAAATTTAAAAAAATGGTGGAAAAAACTTATAGTGATATACAGATAAAGGAACACATGTACAAACTTCAACAAAATTTCTGCGTTAAAGACAAAGGGACGCCCAAATCCTGGAAAGTGCTCCCTCTTAGTGTAGAATTCCCCGGTCACCAGAGCTGAAACCTTACAGCAGCATGCATGTATCACCAAAAAGGTAATCAAGGCCACTTTACTCATAATTGCTGCTAGGTCAAAATCTTACATGGTCTCCTTTGTCAAAATGCTGCTTAACTTTGCGTTCTAGTATGTCTGGAAATAAACCCACCTGGAAAAATAATTAATGCTTTGTTAAAATAAGCTAAAGTTGGCAGTTAGAAAAGCTTGTAGCAGCACCTTCTTCAAAAGGTAGCTCTCTATGCTTGACAACTGAGATGCAACAAAATCACCCTTCTCATAGAACTTAATCACAGCATCAGATGAAACATGAAACAGCTCATCATTTCTTTCTTTAGTGTTCTTGACATCTTCTTCTACTAATATTCTGTTGATATACTGCTCGACCTGTTTTCAGGAAAAATTGACAAGGTAAAGTTCACATCCACACACCCTTCTACGTGCAAACATGGGAATTGCAACAACAGTTCGCCATGCAGTGCAAATTCAGTAAACAATATGCAGCTGTGGTTAATGAACAAATGCAGATCACTCACATTCTTAGCCAAAAGCCACACTCCATATGTGCGAACCTCTACTACGGGCATCTCCATCCTGTGTACATTAAGGAGAGAAATTAAGTAAGTACATATGCACATTGAACTCTGCCTATTAAATTCAGAACCACATTACCCAGTGGGAGCAGTTGGCCATCTTAACAATGCAGTTACTGAACCTATCACCAGTAAATAAGATGAATGTCATTAGCAATTTAACTTACTGTAGACCCTCGGTTATAAAAAGATTGACCCCGCACCTGAATTATTCTGGGATAGAGGGACAACAAGAGGAAGCAACCCTTGCTTGGCTCCAGGAGAAATAATTTGTTCGCCTGTCATAGTGCAAGATCGAAAATTACCATCCAACGCAAATGAAATCGAAAACCCATCAAAATACAACCAGCACAATCCACATTAGCAGCTGTTTGCAACATCTAAACCAAATCCTCCACCTTTTTAATTAATCAAACAGAGCCTAGGCCAGAATATTCCAGCTTTTATTTGCAGAAAATGAAAGTGCAGCTGAAACAGTTATAAGCCGGTGACAGTAAAGTACCTCTAAGCTGAAGCACTTTGAGAAGATGATTCAAATGCTCCGGCGGCCGTGAGGCGGCCACATCATTGATAAACAATGAGTGTTCTTCCATTCAAACAACCCAAATATTAACATTAATGTGTGCATAAGCGCGGGTGAACCGCACAATTATATATCCAATTCGTTAAGTGCTCAAAAAATGACAGAAGCTAAAATACCAGGAAAAGATGAAGAGTAGCACCGGATATAAATTCGTCGGCGCCTGAAGAGAGCTGCGGGAAACGCGGCGGCGCGTGGAACTCCAAACACAACTCCACCACCGGCTTTCATATCCGTTTGCCAAGCTAGCTGGGTACGGTTTGTTGTATTGTTCTGCGGAGAAAAGTGGAGCAGTGCAGTCGATATTTTATGGGCCGATTGCATCGGTTAACGGGTTTGGGCCTTGTATGCTGTGGATACATTGGGGCTCTGCAGATGGGCCAGTTTATTTCTTTCATGCAATTCTCATTCTTATGGGTTAAAGGCGTGTGGGTAAATGCCATTTTTTTAGAGAAAATTACCTGGTGTACGACTCATTCTAAATTTTTATTCCCGATTATGAAAGTCACTTTTTATTTATCAAACATAACTTTCTACTTCCAATTAAATGATATTTACTTTTCTTAATACCACTATATACCACTTTATCACTTGCCTAATATTCCTCCCCCATTTTTTCTCGAGCAGAGTCGAAGAATAAGTAGCCCAACGACAGTGCCAACGCCTAAGGCCTGACACGATGGAGGCTTGATGCGATGGAGACGGCAAATGTGTACGACGTCCAGGAGAGCATCCCCACCTCCGTGACGATCCCAACGGACGGTCTGCATCGCAGCGTCATCGGAACCGCCGTCAACGTCTCCATCTCCGGTTCCCTCCTCCTGCTGCCTGCATCGTCCGCCGCCTCGAGGGTCAACATATGACTCGTCGGGGGTAGGGACAACTAGTCGCAAATGTGTGGTTCACTGATTTAGGGTTTACCTAATTTTGATTTCCTTATTTTGTTTTTGGGGTTTAATTCATTGTTTTATGATTGCATATACGTGAGTTGCTGGGTTTGTTTTGTTTCTAATGTTGCTCAATTTTCATTTGTGTTTTGAAATAAAAACGTCGAATTTTAGTCTATGATTTACATTTGGGGTCGGATCCTAGGTCCAGCTGAATTTAAGAATTTTACACCAATAATTTGCCACAGCCCGTCGGAGAAGAAGCGCTAAAATAATTCGATAGGTAATGATTCTTTTGGTTTAATTTCTATGTTACATTTTACTATTTTTCAACACGATCTAAGATATTGATTATGGATTTAAGCAGCTCGAGGCTTGATAAGAAAACCGGGCATATGGCAATATTCTAGATGGGTTGGATCATGGTGTTCAACCATCTGTCGGCCGATATGGCTAAAGAGATTATATTGCTCATCGAGCTTACCACCCACAACGCGGTGGAACTCGCCACCAGCCGTACGAGTGTAGCTGCCCCTTTAGGATGCATTTGAATCTGGTAAAAGAAAAGAATATTGTTATCGAACCTGCCATTATTATTAGTAAGTTATGTATAATCTCGAAGGGACTTTACGTGCTCTGTCTAAATCAGGGGTACGCGGACCGCAACCTGATCGCAAAGTGGAAAAAGCCCGACTATGAGAGGCTATGCTGCCTGAGGTGTGTATGCAGCCCGGGGACCATAACTTTCAGACCACTTGCGTCTGCCGAGTCCCGCAGCATCTGCTCGAGGATAAGGTAGTGGAGTGAGTGCATTTTGGCTGTGGGGGCTGCACGAGTGGAGATTGAGGATCGTGTTCCGAACTGTTTGCTAAGAAAGTGCTATTTGGCTCTTGTGTACATCCTGTGTAATATGAAGCGTTTGGATATGATACAGTTGGAGTTTTTGTACTAATGTGGTCTCCAAGTATATATTCTCTTGGTTCTTCTATTTATGAAATGGTCTACTTAATTTAGCATGAAATAATGTTATCTGATACTCCCTTTGAAATTGACCTACAAAAATGTAGTGCAGATCTACTGTTTGTTTATGTGAGGTAGATTTGTATTTTGAAGATGTCTATTGATGTTTTTTTTTTGGTAGTTTATATGAAGTCTTATTTTTCATATTATTTGTTTATCAATTTGTTTTTCGTGATAGTTAAAAAAATAGTTAATAAACATAAGATAAACTAAAAATAAACTTAAGATATAGTAAAAAAATTAAAAAAAATAGATAATAAACTTAAGATAAACTTAAGATATATTAAACAAAAATAGATAATATACCTAAGATAAACTAAAGATAAACTTAAGATATAGTAAAAAAATTAAAAAAAATAGATAATAAACTTAAGATATAGTAAACAAAAAATAGATAATATACTTAAAAATAGAGATAATGTAACAAAAATATAGACTAAACATAAACTAAAAAAAGTTTATAAGAAAAAAAAAGATAATAGTTTTAAAATAGAAAATATACCTGTTCATAAAAGTAGATAATATATTTAAGATAAACTAAAAATTTCGAATTAATTTTTAATAAATTATAGAGATAATATAATAAACTAGATAAACTAAAAATAAACTAAAAGAGTTCATAAGAATAAGATAGATTAAAATAGAAAATATATATTCTTGTAATTATTTATAAACCAAAAATAAACTAAATAATTTACATTAAAATTTTAATTGGTTTACAACCTTAATTTTCCTCAAACTCCCAAGAACACATTCGTTCTGCAACCCATTGAAATCGTGACAATCAACCCAATTTCCACAAATTTACTATCCCCAAAACTAACCAACATAAGAGCAGTGAAAGAAGAATAAAAAAATGTTCATATTATCAATTCACAATTTGTTACAAAAACATAAGATTTTTTGTCCACATCCAAAAGCAAAGCTTTAACAGTTGTCTTCTAGCCGCCGCCCGCCGGTCGGCACCACCATATTAAAAGATGATACAAGAGTCAGGTCGCATCCCTCATGAGCCGCCGTTATTACATTGAGTTGCCGTCACTCGCCGACAATGATGAGATGTGGATCCGACTGGTGTTGTCCATCAGAAGCAGAACCCAATACCACTTGAAAATAACATTGGCTACCTCAAATCAAACGAAAAATATTGGAAATATACCTTCAATCTCCCAGATCGGTGTCGACTTCAAATTTGAATGAAAATGTTTGCGAGCTTGAGATTCAGAAAATTTCCTCTCGACACGATTTCCACATTTTGAACGCGACACGATTTTGAACGAAAAATCAATTAAGATTGCACACAGATTTTCCCTTCCTTTTGTTGTAGCTTCGTAATTTTGGTTATTAATTTTTATGTGGCTACAAATCTGCGGTTAAACTTTAATACTCGTTTAATTGGCATTGTTGTGAGACTAACACGTGGATGTGTATTTTTGCCAATTTTTTATTATCTATATCTATATAAAAAGGTTGTTGGAAAAATACATTTATAGTAAGTTTGACTAAAAATAAAATGTTGACTTTCTAATTTAAGTAAGATGATTAAAATCACATATGGATAAGTCACATCAAAGAGATAATGCAAATTAATTAATTAGAGAGATAATTAGAATAAGTGGATAAGTCACATTAAAGAGATAATGCAAATTAATTAATTAGAGAGATAATTAGAATAAGTGGATAAGTCACATTAAAGAGATAATGCACGTTTTTAATTAATGGAAATCCTATTTGAAAAGAAAAGAATTAATTAATTAATGGGAATCCTATTTTTCGAAATTAATATTAATTGAAGAAAGTACATTTAATAGTTTATATTAATAAATATTTGTTTGATTATAATATTTATATTAATTAATTTGTGTTATATAATAATAAATGCAGATATTAACGATAAAAGGATAAATATTAACGCCACAATTCTATCCTAACAAACAATAATTTGTAGATAAGCCTCAATTCCACATTTGTGGATAAGCCACAATTTCACTCATGATCAAACAACATTTTTATAAAATGGTTGAATAAATTTTGCTTAAATCTATATTATAATAAGTTATATATTAATCTATAATCTGCAGATAAGTTATTACTTAAAATCGCACGTGGTAGTCCTCTATTCATGCAAAAACAAAAACTGAATTCATAATTAATTGTGTGGAGATAATACTGGATCAAGAATATATGGATAACCGAAAAGTTAAAATTGCACGTTGTAGTTTAATTATTAAATTAAGATTTAATGGTTTAGAGATAATTATTAATGGTTTAGAGATAATTATTAATGGTCTAGAGATAATATAGGAACAATTATATGTGGATAAGTGATGATTTAAAATTGCATGGTTAGTTCTTTATTAATGCAAAATCACAAACTGAATTCATAATTTACGTAATAGATAATATTGAACAATAATATATTGACATCTCATTCTTTAACATTGCACGTGGTAGATAATTTGCATGGTATGAATTAGTTAAGATATATATTGACAACGAAATATCTCATCTTCTTAACTATATTACACTTATCTTATCATCATACAAGAGTTTCAATTTATTAAAACTCATATTTTAAATTGATCTAATGTTTATCAACTATTATCCCATGCCTATAAAATTATAAAATGATAGTGCATCACGTATCGCAAAAAAATCTTACTCCTATTTGGACGTAAAGCATTAAAGTAGAAAAATGGCAAAAGCCTGGGGAAACATCAAACAAGTAATAAGGACTAACAGGCCAATGATCAAGCTAAGAGTTGTTCGAGTCTTTCAAAGGACTAATGAATACTCATCCTACAAGAACATCCTTGAGATTGTCTTTCATGACATTGAGGTATAATTTACAATAAAAGTTAATGACTATACATTTCTTATCATATTACACTATAATTTACAATATTATATTTTTTTTTCAAGGGCAGTCGAATTATGGCAATAATAAGAGCAATAAACATCCCTACTTTCATCAATAAATTTGAAGAAGGGGTTGTCTATGCACTTCAAAACAATCAGGTCGAGAGTAACATTGGAATGTACAGATCCACCATTGCCAAATACAGGCTTATCTTACATGGTAGAACTGAACACATAAGCTACAAGGGTGACTTTTCAATTTACCGTTTCGACTTTCGAAGGTTCATCACATTGATTGATGTCGAGAAGATCGACGAATCAATCCTCTTCGGTAATCGCATTTTCAATTATTTTTATTTTAGTTTTTATAATTTTTATGATAAATAATAATTTTACTCTAATTTAACACATATTTAGATGTCATTGGAATGGTGGTCGAGATAAATCTTGTGCAATTGAAGAATAAAGCATAATACTATTTTAAACAGCACATTTAAATAACATAATTACAATAAAGTATCCTTAATATTTATCAGTGAATAATATAATACTATAATT